GTAATTAAGGGGATCTTCTCTTTCTCCCTTTTGACAGAGGAAAAGACAAGTAAGCTTGTCCAGCAAGCTGCTGACCATCACAGCAAGCCTGAGGCTGGTCTAGCACGGGGGCCTGGATTTAGACTGAATCAGAACTTGAGAAGATGGATGTAAGCTGTCTGTGCTAATCCCCAGGTCCATGCGAGACCATTAGCCATACCTAACAGTCTGTTTTCTTGATGTTATTTAAAACATCCCTGAAGAAATTTAGATTTGATATAGTCATATCCCTTCTCACCCACTGCCAAGCTGCAACCCACGGTATTTTTGAGACGTATTATGTTCTAGATTGTGGGAGACTTTATAGAAATATCTGATAAGTAAAGACATTAATTAAAAAAGAGAATATTTGGAGTGAGACTTGGGAGTATTTTTCATACACAGGCAAACTGACCTGCAGTTAACAGCCACAAAAACTGCAGGAATAAACAGTTACCAGTTTCCTCCTCAGCCCATTAGCCCATTGCTAATTTCAGAGTTGAACCCTGGGGTAATGGGCCAGTCCAGCCTCTCATACTTTGTAACAAAGAGGAGTGAGGTCAAATAGTTAATGAAGTGAAGGTAATTACAAAGATTGTGTCACTGAAACTTGAAGGAGAATGATACTGGTTTGAGGTTAGGGACTAAATAAGAGATGCCAGGTGCTTCTTTTTCTTTTTTTTTTCCCAATTTCACTGGATTGTACTCAGTTGAAAAAAAAAAAAAAACCTGTAAAACTAATTTACTATCAAAATAATGTGCTAATAATGAAGACTTCTTTAAAGTAAGTAATAAAAGAAAAAGAGCTTCAGCTTTCAATTTAATGATCTCTGGTGTTAAATGTTTTCCAGCATGTAATAAAATTTTATTAAAAATTAGTCACTGAAGAAAAGGGCTGTAGAAAAACTTCCGTGGAAGCTTTCTGAGGCAACAGCAGAACCATACTCAATCTGAAGCAAATTCTGAGCTGACACACTCTTATGAATCATCATTAACAATGATACAAGAGTACGTTTGGCACCTAGTTGATCATAATGAGAATAAAACCCCATAAGCCCAAAGAGAGCTATAAAAAGCAGAACAGGAGAGACTTGCATGAAGAAATAGGTCATGCTAGTCATGCTTCTGCAATTAAATTACCTTTTAATTTTTTAAAAACAAATTTCTTACTACATTAGCTTTACAGATAAGCATAGTACCTGAGACTTCTATAGAAGGGGAGATGTATTCCTTCCACTCTGAAATTAAATTCCAAACCAATGGATAATGTCATATTTCAAAGCTATTTTATTCTCATGTTTGTGTCTCAGGAAAGGGTACTGTGATTGTCATTACTGCAGATTACAAAATGTGGCTGTCTCTGCATTTAGTAATTGCCTTTTTCTTTTTTTTTTTTAATTACAGTTTTCCAGTCCCCGTGCTGAATGCAATGATCTACAGGTCACCGAAACCGCAGGTGTCAGTGATATCTCATTAACTCTGGCAGAAGGAAAGTTTGAGGCAACAAAAGTAGGAAATCACTAAGGTACCATAGAGGTGGACTTCCTAAGGCTTTAATGGAGCACAAATATATCCACTGCCCTTAACGCTCCGGCTGCTTACTTCTAGCTGACCACAGATATTGTATTTCGTGCCCTCAGGTTCAACCTCTGTTTCCTTTGATAAAGTTATGAGGACACATGCTATTTTTTTTCCCTCAATTGTGAGCAGGCAATTAACTTCCAAATAAATCCAAGCACACCATGCTATATTTGTATAGGTTTGTATTACCCTGGAGCTCAATTAAATGAAAAGTTTTGCTCTATGTGTTTTTACACAATTACATAGAATTTTCATTTACCATAGCAGCCAACAAATCAGGCTTAATTTTTGCTTAAAACCTGGCATTGTTTCTAGTCTAACCTTATATTTTGCAATCTTCTCAAAATAGACCCTTTAAAAAAAACCTGTCTGGACCCTCTGCTCTCTGCAACCCGAATGCTCATTTTATAGGAAAAAGAAATAGCATAATAATGTTTATTATTCTTAAGTTTAAGAAAGGAATACACGTCAGAAGAGAATACTTAGCTAGACAGAATGAGAGAATAATGCTGAAAAGTAGTAAGTTGGGAGAAATGACGAGGAGTATGTCAGTCTTCATAAACATGGATTGGGTCCAATCTACACATTGCAGACATCGCCTCCTTCCTTCAAAATGTATTTGGATTTTGAAGAAATGTACACATACAGCTATGTGTCTTTTTTCAAATTTCTAGTCACTTATACAATTATAATATCCTACAGTATTGTCAGTAACATGATAATTGTACAACTAATATTTAGTACAAATATTTAACTATTGTATTATTACTTTATGTAAGTATTTATGTCAAGAATTTCTACTTTTGTAGAATGAAATGGATAAAATCTAGAGGCTAAGAAATATTCTGGCTTCCTAGACAAATGATAGATTTGATACCAATTATGAATACGAATATACAGCCTATTTATTTGTTTTTTGGGTTTTTTTTGTTTTGTTTTGTTTTCAAACAGGAAGCACCCTGGTCCCAGGGGTGATTGTTCCCAAGTGATACAGGTATCATACACTGGGATGTACCCTTCAATGGATTTTAAATGAGCTTGGTACTCTTAGCAAACAATTTTTAGGATGAATAAGAATATCTTTGAAATAAGTTATTTACCAGAGAAATTATCATTTTTTTCCTCAAGATGAAACTGTCGCTTATCAGACATGACAAGATGCATAAGTGCTGTTCATCTAAAGTTCCCATTTTTACATATAAAAACATATTTAAGTAACCACACACATTTATATTCACCTAAAAATACTAGCATGCTGTATCATAATGTTTATGCAAATCTAATAAAAAAAAGAAAGCTATACATCTGCAGTTAAAGTGAGTTGGTTTGTAAGAGGAGGGAAAAAGCCAAGGAAAAGATACACAAGAATGGATATCATAAAAAAAAAAAGCCTTCCATAACACAGCTCAAATGCAGAAGGCAAAATTCTGGACTGCCTATGATTCTCTGACAACCTATTTCACAGCAGCAGATTTCAGTGGTTTTGTAATCACAGATAATGCACAGATTTATAATAATGAGGTGTCAACGCGTGGAAGAAGAGGACTGCAGACCATTATTTTCCCAGACGTTTTCATGGCATATGCCAAGTGCAGAGAAACGTGAGCAAGGTCTGTTAAAGAGCCAGAATAACTTATTCAAGCACTTTTGGATACAGAGGACTAACTCCTAGTTCTCAAAAGGCTGGAGCACGGAAATACTGAAACATTTTAGAAACAGCAACATTAAACACAAAATCTATATGATCACAGAAAAAAAAGAAGAGTATTGTGTTTCAGCCAAATATAATAAAAATCTAATTCCAATCTCTACACTGTATTCCCATTTGCTTCATTGCACTACAGTAATACCTGTAAAACCAAAGAGACCTCAAATGTTTCAACGGCTCTGACCCTGTGCTGATCTTAAACACAGGCACAGAGGCTTGTTGGGCCCTATCCTTCAGTACACCTCTGCGTCGACGACAGAGGGACAAACGCTTCCAACCTGAAGAGAAGGACAATAAGAACAAGACAGACAATTCTGCAGACACATTAATCAGGGAAATGTGCTCCTGAGATCCCAGAGTGATGCTCAGTCTGCACGACCTACAAAAGACCAGTCCACTGTCCTGCAGAACACAGAACCAGTGATCTTAATCTGAATGAGCACTAATATCCCCATGTACTGCCATTAATTAAAACACTACTTTGTTTCCAAAGGCAATAAAACTTGGGAATAAAGGTTTCTTCTTATAAAACAGTTGTTAAGGAACTAACAGGGTGCCCAGAGGAGCTGTGGATGCCCCATCCCTGGAGGGGTTCAAGGCCAGGCTGGATGAGGCTTTGAGCAACCTGGGCTAGTGGGAGGTGTCCCTGCCCATGGCAGGGGGGTTGGAGCTCAATGATCTTTAAAGTCCTTTCCAACCCAAACCATTCTATGATTCTATGAACCAACAATCACTATTGTAAGAGTAGCAATGCGAGATCCAGTTTTATTATATTCTGGTTTCTGAATTTATATTTCAATTTTACTGACATACAAAAAGATGACTGATTTTTGGCTTTAGCCTCTGTACTAATAGTGAATATCAATAGCTGTCAGATAAAAATCACAAATCGGCTATGAGTTAGCAATTCCTATTTATATTTCAGTAAAGAGTTTTGGAACTTAAACAGGACATCAAAGTGTCCTTCAGTCATTCTTCTGTAAAACTTCCTTTTAAATTGAAATAACGGATTTCTTCTAGATCTGTAGAATCGGCTGAATGCATGAGCAGAATGCAACCCTGCAGGTGAAAATTACCAGGACAGTTTTTAATCACTGTGAATCTTGACTGTATTAAAAGCCTTGAATCTATTGAAACTAAACATTTTTCACTGATTTTTTTTCCTCATGCTTTCTCCTAAACTGCCCTTCCCATCCTGCATGATTGGAATATTTCCTACGGCCTATTAGTGATTCTATAGATCCCTTTTGGCAAATTTGATTTGGGTGTCCCACATTATTTTTTGTTTTTATATCAGTCTTTTTCACTAAAAAAACCATAGTAAGCAAAAACTGTCTTACTGTTTAGTGCTATACTACCACAAACACACTATCTGTGCCTGACAGGTAAACAATCCTAGGAATTAGCATCCTCACTTATTTTAGATGCAAATCCATCTTCCTTGTAGATTTGTTATGAAGACATGGTCCATTTAGCAAGTGACAGACAGAATTTTGTTCCTCAGCAAAAAAACTAGCTGCTTCCCAGCTTTAAAAAAAAAAGTTTATTGACATCAGAAACAGGCTTAGAACTATCCTCAAAATTCATCCTAATCTTTCAATGAATTTAAAATCCTCCTTAGTTCCAGTTTGATGCTCTTACAGGACAAACTTTCAAAGATGTTTAAAAAAAAGCCCTGAGAGAGAAACCATACCTTGGTGCTTGTCACTTGAAATGGAACTTTGGAGCCCTTTGTAAGTGGGGATGTCAGCTTCTCGGCTGGTTTTGAAGGGATTAGATTCGTAGCAGGAGGCTGATTGTGCAGAACAGAAGACAGGCAAAGCTGCACGGTCTCCTTCAGAGCTTTCAGCTGTGACTCCTGGGGAAAATAAGAAATCAGCAGTTCTCTAAGATGTGTTATTATGAACAGAATTGCTTGCTTTCCTTCTCTGCATTAAAGCAAACATTTATGAGCAGCTGCTGCTTTTTCTTATTAACAGAAGAAATTAACGCTGTTTAAAGCAGTTTTTTATAGGATTAGGTTACCGTGCATTACACACTAAACTGCCTAGAAAGTCACTGCACTCTTCCTCTGTGCAGTTTTATCCACACTGATTATTGCCAATAAGTATTTAATATTATTTTATTTGAAAATAAACAAAAATACAACATACCAAGTATCACTGTGTCCAGACTTCCACATATAATAGCTCCAGAGTAGTAAATGTTCACAAGTACTGCAGACACAGACTTTGCATGGAATTTTGTTTATAACAGTCAGAATAATCGGTATTTTTCCACAGGTTATAAAGGCTGCTTTCAAGCCTAGAAAGATGACTTCCCTCCTTTGCTATCTGTGCTGTTGCAGGAGACAGTAAATAAACTATAGGTCTTTTCATCTGTTAAGAATAGGATCATCCAGATCCATTACTGTCCATCAAGCCAAACTAAAACTTTTAAGAGGTGAAGTGCTTGCAACTCATGTTAAAACACTGCTATTTCACTCACAAAAGTACAGACCAATGTATTAATGAAAATAGCACTGACACTGAAATAAACTAGACAGTAAGAACAGTAAGATGACTACAGCACTGAGGAAATCCATTTTAAATCTTTGCTCCATCGCAGCAAGACGCTTAGAGTCAAATGTTTAGTACTGAGGTAGCCTTCTTATACTCATTGCAGGTTGAGCTAGGCAGCATTTGGCCTTAAAATTTTTTTTTTATACTAAGAATGCGCCTATAAATACAGGTTACATCAGCACATTTCAACCTGCAAAGATTTTTTTGGAAGATACATAAATCAAGGTATACCATGGGAAAAGTTAATGGAAAGTATATGTGCAATTAGCATTACACAGAATGCACTATATATGTGAAATATTACATCTGCAATGCAAAAATATTTCACAGTTATACAAATCCTAAGCAATGGCATTTGGCACACATCACTTTGTTTCAGTTTACTTGTTAAACAAATATGTTTTAGAACCTAACAAATGTGCCATGTTTTACATCAGGTAAACCTCCCTGAACTGGAACCAGGGAATGTATCTCATGACTGGGGAAATCTGAGAGTTTCTTTAAAAAATAAAAACAAAAAAACCCAGGTTAGTAGGGTACTTTTCAAAACATAACCATAAAAAACTCTTGCTCTACAGCACAATAAGAAAAATCAAAGAAATAGGAGACGGAATGGAGTTTAGTTTGTTTGCAAACTGACAAAATTGAATGTCTTTCCCTTAAGATGTGTGCAGAGAGGAGGAATGCTAGATTATCAAAGAGGACAGCACTTTGTATGAATTACTTATTAAAATGTGTGAACCTTGAGTCAGCTGATACGTCTCTGACCTAATGACAATGTGAAGAGGAAAGGGTTACTTTATCCATCTGACTCAGGGATCTTTTAATTTCTAACTGACAACAGAAGATCTTTTCATGTAATATGTCTTTTCCCCCACCTTTTCAAGAACTGACTGCACAGAGAACACAAATCACCATTTGACATACTCAAATAAGCTCAGACAGCAAACTGGCAGAGGTAGCAGACCGTCTTAATTTTGCTTGACTCAGCCATTATAGCACTATAAGACCCCAGTGCTCCCTGCAAATCACACTGATCCAAAACCATATTCCTCCCATCCAGAAATTCCTCTGGATTATTTCTCATTCTCTCATCTGCCACCCCTGCCATCCAGTGCTTGTTCTGCCTTGGCTATGGTCAGACATTTCGCCTTTCCCAAGGTAAAAGCAGAATAGGTTATTTTGCTTCCATCCTGTGGGTAGCAAAATTCAATTTTGACTTTGCTGATATGATGCATAAATGGGCAACACGAGCGGACAACTGTCGGAACCAGGGATGGCATTTGACAAAGTTCTCAATAACCTTGCATAGATGTGACTGTGGTGAAAATAGGCTGCTTGCTGGTCAAAATACTGCCAACGCATGACAGATGTCTTCAGATTTCCCAGACCTGTTTATACTCTTGTCATGTGGCTGGAGTCAATATAGAATAATTTGGGCTGTGGTAATGCAAAATTTGTCAGTCTTCCAAGGGTCCATCATGGGAACTAGGGAAGTGGTGGAGCATAAATAGACTTATGAGAGACACTAAGTCCACTGTCAGCATAAAATAATATTGAATAGAAAAGTCTGATACCCTCCCAAAAGAAAAATACAAATGAACACCTATTTATAGGCCAGGTCTGAGGTTCGATTACTCAATTATTCATTTCAAACACAGGTCATGTTCCAAGAATGCACATTGCTCTACACCTCGCTTCCATTCCTTTAGCTGAAGCTATGCGTGCTGACATTGTCAAAACAGTTAAGGCCAAGTCTTCGCTGAAGACATGGATGGACCATTGGCCATCCTTAACTCTTTCAGTTCATACAGAAAAGCTCTTAGCCAGGGGGTAAAGGTAACTACGACTTAAATGGTCTTATTACTCTGCAGTTAGGACTGCTCAAACACAGGTTTTTCTAGTCTCATAAAACTGTCTCACAATTCTCACTGGTGTGAATGAACTTTGTCTTTTTCCTTCATTTGCACTTTTTTTTTTTTTAATCCTGCTTCCCATTTCCACTGCACTGTCACAGCATGTAAGCAATGACGCCATCCAAAGACTCTCTCAACAATAATTTGGAAGAAGATGACACTGGGCTTCTGGTGAGCCTACGGAACCATAACTGAACCCTAAATTAAAAGTCTATAATATTTAATAGGAAAGAAACAGAGGGTCAGAGAAGTCAGCTGGGTGTGCTGCAAATCCCCTTTTAATTTGCAGACAGAATCCCTTAATAGCATTCTCATTAAAAGCTCCTGATGTCAAATGTTCTTTGCTTTCTCCTTCACAACTGTCTGCATTATAATGAACAACTGCTTTTAGAAGATATTTACAGCAAGCATTGCTCTCTTGCCATTGCCACAGACAGGATATTGGCATTAGTGAGAGACTGTGTCTGAGTGTTATATTAGCAAAGAAGGAACATGCTTAATTTCTGAATTAATAAGTGGAGCAGTTCAGTTCAGTGTACTGACAAGAAACACGTGAGATATCACCAGATGTCACACAGGTTTGAATAATGCTGCTTTGAGCATCGCTTACAAAGATGAATTTTGCAATGCTGGATGCAAATCCTCACTCAAGAGGATGATTTCCATGATTACAATATTGAAGATTAAAGATAAATGCTTTTAGTACAGGGAGGATACTTGTTTTTTTGCCCCCAAAATGTCTAATGGAACATGAAAACATTAGAAAACCAAACCAAAAAAGTGGTCTTTATCAGAAAGTAAAAAAATTCAATAAGCTGTCAAAGTGCTTCCATAACGCATGATATTTTCTTCCCAGTTATCCTAAATCTAGAAGAAAGTTCCCCTATTGCACAGCTGCCAGGAGTGGACGTGTCCTGCTCTGTCCTCTTCCTGGGATTCCCCACAGCTTCCCTGCCATGAGCAGGCACCTCTGCCCACCAAAGAGTTGGCTCCGTCACATCAGTCCCTCCCTAACCAGAGCCTGGCCCATTTCTATACTGCATCTTTCTTGGAACTACGACTAAACCTCAGACCAAAATCATATTGGTTACAGGCACACTCTTGTGAGTGTACTTTTGCACACAGAGTTGTAGTATTTGGCTTTTTGTAGGTTTTTGAGATGTTTCTTTCTAATTTGATTGCCTTCCTCTTAAATTACTTTGCAGCTGCACTTAATTTCATGCATCATAATTAGTTCCACTGACTTCAGTAGAATTACTCCCAGGTACACGAGTTAAGTATGCATCTAAACCCTTGCAACTTTCATTTGTTTTTGTCAAATTATACTGAAACGTTCACAGCTGATAGAGATAAGCGTGCTTACATTACATTGCATTTCTTACTTTGTCAAGGGCTGCCTTTTCCAATTCATCTTTTGCAACGGCTAGTTTCTGCTCCAGATCTGTTAGCTGTTGTGCCTGTGGGAATAAAGAAGAAAAAGCTGATGCAAACTACAGTGCATTTTTTTTTTCCCCATAATTTTTCATACAGTGCCTGTGAGAGAGGAAAGGTTATAAAGTTTTACAATAAATTTTACATATGCAATATGAATTGTGTCAGAATTGCTTGCCAAAAACACCAGCCCTCAAGGGATATCCTTTTCCTGAGAAAAAAAGTGTATTTTTATGTAGGAACTGGGATCCAATCTGCTCTGTTTATGTGAATGCATGTTTGCTCTAATTTCAATATCAGCAGCAAAAGTAATTCCACACTATAAAGTATTTAGAATTATGGCATAGTATCCTTTTCAAAAATTCAAAGTATTCAAACAGATTTTATTATTTTGTTCATTTATCTGACTTCTGTTTCAAGTTTGTAACTTGTAACACAGATTTGTAGTTTTAAACACGGAGATGCTAACATCAATGTAACTTGGCATAAGCAGAGAAATTAGAAAACAACCAAATATTCCTGCATGTAGACACCTTAAGAAATGCTACAATCTGCTGGGATAACAGGGGGCTAACACCAGATTTGTTTCTCGCCTCCTTCCCTGGAGATACCAAAGGAAAATTCACGAGAACAGCTGGTTATGCCAGGACAGATTGAGAAAGCATTTTGGGAGATTTGCATTTGAAGTCGGGGTCAGGCAAGCAGCCTGCACCCTGTGCCGAAGGGCTGGTGGCTTTTTCTGTGACATAACCTCATTTTCCTGCAGAGTCCTACAGGAGGAGATTTGGCTTTTTCCAATGTATATGCAATGTACTAAGTGCAGGGGTTCAGGAGATGCCTTTAAATCCTCAGTAAATAAAGACAATTGTTCTTCTCCTCTTTCCTAGGAGCTTGATACACTCAGACTGCTTACTTTAGGGAAATACTTTCTCTGCAAAACCTTTGCATTTGAGGGAAATAGGAGCTCCCAGATTCTTCCAGTTCTCAGCCCTGTTATTAAGAGCACATTATGTAACCAAAAGGATTAAAGCAGTTTTCTTTCACTGTTGGATTTGCACCAACAGCCCACTAGTTGTGTTCCCTGTTTGTGAAGGCAGCCACAGAGAAAGGCACTGGACTAACCCGTTATCTTTCCTCTCTGAAACTGGGATTAGGTAACGCACATTTTGTGCATACAGAATAACTGGGTGAAGTTCCCATTTCTCAGTTAAAGAGCAACACATCTGAATTTTGAACAAATATTTGCAAGCACCCTTTCCCTCAACACCACCCCATGCTCACACCAGGTTGCTGAAGCTCATCCCCAGACAGATAGTATTTCCTTGCCACACTTTTCAAGACTCTGCTGACTGTACCATCGCTTAATGTATAGCCACACAACATAAATGCTGCTTAGTGTAAACGCAGTGAGCATGATCTGTACTGGGGCAATGACCATACTTCCAGCACATACCGCAGCTGATATGTATTAGCTTAAGCAAGCCTATAGCCCTCAGCAGACGCCCCGAGTGATGTTTATTAGCACTAGATACAGGCTGTACTGCTGATAAAATGACACAAGCCTGGCATTTTCAGTTCCCTGCTCATGTAAAGAACTACTTAGTCGCATTTGAAAACAGGATTAGGCATTTATCTGCAGATTTATCAGAGCAGCCACGGTTTCATTAGTCAAAACCATGTGCGATTAGACAATCTTGCTTCAAAGCAGAAGTCAACTGCTTGCTCAGATGCGGGGAAGTCTCTTACGAAGGCAGCCCCTAATTTCCACTGCGTGTTTCTTACACCTGGTACCCGTCACCATCACACACACACACCACACCCAGATCAAACCACTGGTTTGCTTCCTCAGTCTGGCAACAGCGCACACAGTACAGAAAGAATCCTTCCATTTCATCAAAATTTGCAAAAGTTAACGGAACTTATTGCTGGCTTTTTAGAGGGGGAAAAAAAAAACCCAACTTACTAACATATCAGAATTTTTCTAGAGTTTGGTAACATTTTCATTTGTTACTAATGCGGCACCCAATAGCCCTCCCAATAAACATAGTCCCAGTCAATGTCTGAAAGACTGAGCATTAAGCTCGGCTCTATCTGATGCAAAGACAGTTCTCATTAGATACTAGACCCAGACCAAGAGATTTCTCACATCATTAGCATTTTAATTATTGCTACTTATTAAACCATTTGTACAGAACTCTTATACAAATCAATTTTCAATTAATAAGAAAGAAGATTTGAAAAACAGCATATACAGTTAAGTAATACGAATTTCCATTAAAAAGGAAATTATACCAAATAACACCTACATGATAAATAAGAGGCCAGGATAGCATCTCTGATGGTGTGCGTTACTAAAGGATCAGAATCCATGGAAGACGATGGATTGCTGCCACACGGTGTGGGCCAGACAACCAGGCAACTTCTCCCTTCAGCACCGTCTACGTTAAAGTTTAAACCCTGGAAGACCAGAGCTAAAGGCATGAATTTCAGGGTGTCTGGTTTCCTCCAACCCATGCATGACGTAGGCATCTGAAAATCTGGGTGACAGAAAGCACGTAAGGGTGGCTACAGGTGACTGCTGCTTGCCAGGGAATGTCTGGTGCTATACCATACGTTGGACTCAATGAAACCGCAGCCACATAAAAGATCAAGTTGAACGAAAAGTGTTTAATTGCTTTAATTGTTGCCTGCCATTGGAAAGAATTAATATTGTAACAACACAGCTCATATCAAGGAAAACATTGTCAGTTTATAGTGGAAATGTATTCTTCCAAAGGACAAGCTCATATGTATTAGTACAGTCTTTCTGAATGCATCATTTCTCAAGCCTTATTGTTATTTTTGGTAATACTGTCATATTTTGATGGACTAACATTTTCTATAACTTTCATGTATATTTATTTTATAATAAGGCGGTGATGCAGCTGTACAGCTATTACAAACACTGCACGCTTGTTAAAGCTGCCAAAAATGTTTTTAAAAGACTTTTTAGCATTTCTTTCCGAGAAAATTTATACAGCCTGTCACTGTGGAATATAAAGTACATAGGGATGGATTTTGCTGTTGGTGGTGGCGGTGTTTTTGTGGGGGTTTTTTGTATATTTTTTTAAACTTGTAACTGTTTAAAATAATCAGGAAGCAAGCTACTCAATTCTCTTTCTTTTCCTTCTACAAAGTTTGTGGTTTTTTTTTTTTTTCTTCTTCTTCTCCAGAAAAAGCTGGGTTATGGCTTTATGTCAGAAGGATTACTCACATGTGCAGAGACAAGCACAGTCATGACAAGGTTTTCTTTACTTCAAGATGTGATAAATTGGGATTTTATTTGGTTATTACAAAACTTTTATATTTCATAACAAGGATTGCTGTTCATCAAGGACAAAGCTGTCCCACATTCTACTTAATTAGAAAACATGATGGACTAAGTGATGTTTAATCACATGTTAAACATACTGTATATTTACTGTACAACTTTTTATTTTATAATTGATTATATTTTCTACCTAGGACAACTTTTTAATTGGAAACCACTTAACTGGAAATTTGAATAAATTATCTAGCAAACACAATTCTGTGCTTATTCTGTAAGCGTTATTTGTATCTTAGAAAAAGAGAGATTCGTGCTCCTCCGTTGTACTGTTTGCTGTAGCACAGGGTGTTAAATGTTACCGAGAACAACATGTTTTGGCAGCTATTCCATTTAATCAGGCCTGCAGCAAAAACCAGGGTTTCAGCAGCACCTGAATTTTATTTCAAGCACTTACAAGAAAAAGAAAAGCCAGTTAAAAACATCATTTCTGCAGACTCCCAGCTTCTACATCTTCATAAACGCGCCACAGTGCTTTTATCTCTCGTTTGTGACTATTCTGGATGTACATAAAAAAGGAAAGACGACCTTTATGCTTTTTTTATTAGCTGAAATCTCACTTTTCCTTCCCCAACTCTCCTGCTTTTCCTTCACATAGAACGCGTTGCAATGAAAGCCAAACAGCGGTTCGGTGGGTTTTACTAAAGCGCTCAGCCTCTAACTAAGGGAAAGGAACTGTTTCTCTGCAGAAACACGCCCAGAGGATGCGCACGAAGAGAAGAGCCACATCCCTCACCTCTGTGCCTGATCTGCCTTTTTTACCTCCCGTAGGGGATTTTCCTCCCTTCAGATCAGGCCGGAGAGCCTCAGGTTTGAGCACCAGTTGTTATTTCCAATGGATAACCGATCCGCATGATTACAACAACCTGCTGCTCCTTCTTGTCTAAGTCAGTCTTCTGTAAACAACTGTACTGCCTATTTTAGCCGTAAGAGAATAAACACTGAAGGGGTGAGAATTTTAAAATTCATGTCTGGCATTCCAGAGTGCTCTACACCTCTGTCCACTGTGCACTGGAAACATTTCCTTCCCCTGTCCTTGAGAGAGGGTTTGTTCACACCTCGCCCAAAGCTTCAGCTTTTTTGGTTTTGGGGATTCTAAGATTTGACCATTCCATTCAAGGGTATAATCAGCCAGGAAAATGCAAACCAAATTAAACAGAACTAGTATTTCTGGCAATATCACTTAAAAGTGTTTGTCCAGAGATAACTTCTTAAACCTTTCCATTTCACAAACATCTTTAATTTTATATCTCTAAAAAAATCTTTTTCTCTGATCCTTGGTCAGTTTGGAATTTTTCAATATTTTATGTGACATTTTTAAATTTTTCAACCCTACAGGGCACACTCAAAAGCATTTTTATAATCAAACCATTTGGAAAATGTTAGTCAAAGTCCTAATCAACTTCAATTTGATATAAATTTTAGTGGGAGCTGGACAAGATCTGTAAGTTGACTGAACAGCTGTAGGCTGCCCGGTAAACACGCAGCTGCTGCTGTTAGATGTAAGTAGCCTTGTCTCACGCTGGCTATTGACTGGTATTGTCACCCCAGTAGCTCAGCCCAGCTATTTAAGACTGCATTACCTTCAATTACCTGCAAGTCCCTACCTTTAAGGGCACATCCTCACCTCGGGGCCACATAGAAACTTTTAAAATTGGATTT